TTATATCTACATAATTAAACGTACAAACTAACGCACAACTAAACTAAGTCTTGAGCTCAGGTTTATTATTATTTCAAAAATTGCCATCAAGAAACCAAAAGCTCACAACAAATTTTTTCACCTTAAAGTTGTGTCACAAAAAGGAGTTCTCTGAGGAATAAAATAATTTCAAAAACAAAAACTATTCTTTCGAGCATAAATAAAGATTTCTAAACTTATTTCAACCTTGTTTTTTGGCAAATCCAATTTTAATTGGATTAAGCCTGACGTCAGTGACGTCATTATTCGTGATGCGATAAGCTCGTGGAAAAGTTTCGACAACACGTGATCGAAGTTGTTTATTGCTGGAAAGATTAATGCTGGCATGCAGGAAAGGTGGTGATGATGGAGTTGACGATGATGGGGGGCATGGCGATGTGGATGGTGATCTAGATACTGAAGATGATGAAGACAGATACAGATGACGCAAATAACAATGATTATAATGACATTGAAAGTATGAACGTACGCAGATGGGAGCGATGATGGAGGAAGTGCAGCAGACAATGATGCTGATGGTGAAGATGATGAAGATGGTAAAGATTATAAAAATGATGAGAAAAAATAATGTAGATTATGAGAATGACGAAGAAGAAGATGTAGATGCTGATGAAGATAATGAAGATGATGATGTAAATGATGAAGGTGAATGACTACAAACGCTGATCCGCCTCAGGCATTCGTGCGTGTCCGGTGTTCATTCGTTCATTGGTTTCTACGTTCGTTCGTTCGTTTCCCATATGTTCATACGTTTGTTCATTCATTAATTTGTTCATTTGTTTGTTTGTTTGTTTGTTCATTTGTTAATCGTGCTTCCGATTTATGGATATTTATTGCAATTAATTCAATTTTTTTTCCATTTCAAAATTATTCCATCATTTTTTTTGTATTCAATTCAAAAGTTTCCTTTTCAAAATTGTACAAGTAAAAATATCCATTGATCATTTATTCATTTGAGACCAGGCATTTTCTTCATTACAAGTTGTTTGCTTATTCTGTAATTCTTTTTACTTTTTTTAAAGCAAGTTTTATTTTAAATTTAGACACACACACATACAAAGAGGATAGAGAGAGAGAGAGAGAGAGAGAGAGAGAGAGAGAGAGAGAGAGAGAGAGAGAGAGAGAGAGAGAGAGAGAGAGAGAGAGAGAGAGATACACACACACAAACACATATACAAACAAACAACACTGTTACTACTTATTTTGTTATTATGGTTTTCAATATTTTTTATGACTAGTTTCATTTTAACATCATACACACACACACACACACACACACACACACACACACACACACACACACACACACACACACACAAACACACACACATATACCTACACGTAATTGATATTTTTCTCATCATTTAGTAATTTATATTCCACACCAGAATGCACGGTTAGATGGATATTATTCAGCATTTAATTCAAACCGTCATAACCACTTTATTATCATTCTTTCTCCACAATATCATGTAAAGGTTGAAAAAAAATGTTACAAGTGACTTACTCTTTTGCGCTTGCTTAAGGGTTTTCAAACACACACACACAGCGTATTCATAAACTACGCATCATACACATTGCACATGATAGGCGGAGATCTCTTTGTATTCTAACCCAGTCACTGCAGCAGCAAGACCAGGCACATTTAACCATTGAGTCATCACGTGAAAAGCCACAAATTAAATCACACAGTCATCTACTTACTCGCAATACAGGTTCTACGAGAAACATTACGACAAAATATCATAGAGCGTTTGTTAACCATTGAACTTAGAGTTTGTTATATCTCTATATTTCTTATAAGATAGATGAAACATTTTCAGTTATAAATGTAATAAAATGTTTTGAAAATAATTTAAATCTGTTTGGATGATTTGTATTATTTCTTCGTAAAACCTGTATTATCGTTAAGATAAATACTAATTATCTGAAGGTTTTAATTTGTCTACAATCGAATAATTATCATCGTATTGATCACCGTCATCATCATCATCATCATCATCTTCATCTTCTTCATCATTATCATCATCACCATCATCTTCTTCTTCTTCACCATCCTCATCATCATCATCATCATCATCGTTGTCGTCATCATCTCGTAGTTTGATTGCAAGGGAATGAAATTCAGAACACAGGCAATGGTAGGAAGTACTTTATTACTGACGCATGCATCATCATCGTCATCATCACCGTCATCATCATCGTCATCATCATCGTCATCATCGTCATTATCAATATCAACACCAAAATCATCAACGTCTTCATCGTCATTTAGATCATCATAGACATTATTAGTTGGCAAGTACCTACCTACCTACCTACCTACCTACCTGCCTACCTACCTACCTACCTACCTACCTACCTACCTGCCTACCTACCAACCTGCCTGCCTACCTACCTACCTACCTACCTAGCTACTTACCTACCTACCTACCTACCTACCTACCTACCTACCTACCTACCTACCTACCTACCTACCTACTTACCTACCATCCTACCTACCTTCTACCCACCTACCTACTATTACAACGCAAGACTCGTGGCATTGATTGTTACGATTGTCTCCATGACAGCTAGCGACACGTGGTTGCTATAGCGACTGACAGAAGCCAACAGTCGCATGCAGGCGACGAATGATACACGCTTTTGTGGGAGATACAAGTTGATACATTTTTTTCAAAAAAAATTTATTTTTGGAAAATTTTTTTCTATTATGCTAGATTGCTAAGATTTTTAAATAATATCATGTTCTACCTTAGTTAATTAGAGTTGCTACTACTACCACTACTGCTACGATTACTACTTTTACTACTGCTTTTGCTACTACTACTACTATTATTATTACTACTACTACTACTACTACTACTACTACTATTACTAATACTACTACTACTATTACTACTACTACTACTACTACTACTACTACTACTACTACTATTACTACTAGTACTACTACTACTACTACTACTACTAAACTACTACTACTTTCATAAAAAAAATAATAAATTTTATTAATTAAATAAAAAAGTTAATGGATTAAAATTTGAAAAGTATGTAGGTGGAAGATCGTATCAACGCTCCAAAGTTCCATTTAAAGACTCTCAGATAAAAAGGTAGAAACCTCATTGCACGGTGAAACCTAACCCATGTACCACAAAATAAAGGATGGTTAACACTGTCTTTTATCATATTACAAATTGGACTTCGCCATCATACTTTTTTGCAATCAACTATAACTCTCTTTCTCTTTATTTCTTCTCTTTCTCTCTCTCTCTCCTTCTCTCTCTCTTTATATATATATATATATATATATAACACATGGATAGTAAAGTAAAGACTGTCCAACCCAATAAAGTATTGTTAATTACAAACTGTACACACGTAGAACTGTGGCAATTACATGGCATCATTATTATTATTAGTAGTATTGTTATTACTATTAATGTGAGCTTTATTATTATTTTATTATTATTACTGTTATTATTATTGTTATTGTTATTATTATTTTTAATTCATGCATCATTAATGCTTATATATATATATATATATATATATATATATATATATATATATATATATCTATATATATATATATATATATATATATATAGAGAGAGAGAGAGAGAGAGAGAAAAGAGAAAGAGAGTTGATGATAATTTGATTTATTGATGACGTCACTGGCCGACATTCATTCATTTTCATATCGTCATTTGCTCATTCGCTCCATCCATCTTCCGACTACTAGCCTGGCTCTCCCTCCCTCTCTCTCTCTCTCGCAAACAAATAATTATCGCGCGGTACGAAGCGAACATCATCAGCCCTGGCTTCCCGAGTGAAAATATACCACGCGTATTAAGCCGTATATGTATGTGTGTGTGTGTGTGTGTGTGTGTGTGTGTGTGTGTGTGTGTGTGTGTGTGTGTTGTGTATAGAAGTTTTGTTTCGTTTGGTGTGTGTGTGTTGTGTATAGAAATTTCGTTTCGTTTCGTTTCGTTTTGTAAAATGATTAAACAAGTTATAAAAAATAATTGAGGAAATATTAAATGTATGTATTTATACTTTTATATAAATATTTATACTATATAAGTTGATGTATTTATATTTTGTCTAAAAAATAAATCAAATTTCATAAAAGTCCCATTGAAATGTATATTCCAAGCAGTGTAATATGAAGTTCATCCGAAATGAAACTTTAAGCTGTTGAGTTTACCAACTTTTTGAAAATAATTTTTAAAAAATAATTAAATATGTCTCACAGGAAGAAAATGAACATGGTAAATGAGAAAACACTTCAAGATATATTATTACTGAATTTGTATGCGCTGAAACTCACGCAAACGTGCACTCCCAATATTTCCAGCGAGCCTGTTAAAAAAAATTTTTAATAAAGATGTCTCCTGTTGGCTCTGGGAACGTTACAAATGACCATTTAGTCCGGGTCATCAAGTTATCACTACCTCATCATTCAGATAATGTGCCATTAATTATTTTTTGTCTGTCCTGTGTGAATAATTCGTGGCTGTTGTTTGTGTACGTGTGTCTGTTTGTGTGTACGTGTGTGTGACTGTGTATGTGTGTGTGTGAACTTGTGTGTGACTTTGTGTGTGTGTGTTTGTGTGAATGTTATCGCGCGATCTCTCTTGTCTAGACAGTTGGTTCGTCTGTGTTATGCATTATATATGCTTGTTGTGTCCAGACATGGTATTGTTCTATTGAGTCCTATTTAACTTGTTGCATTTTTTTATGATTTAAGTTATGAAATTGCAAAAATTTTCCAGTTATAGTGAATGTAATTAAATTAATGTTACAAATAATACGTTCATTATTTATGGAATTGGTCTTTCTCGCTGTAGCCAGCCTAAAAGATAATTATTCCTGCATTTTTCCAATTTTTGTTCCAGGCAAAAGTGTTTTTTCCATTGCCTGTAGAAATTCCTAATGAGAAATAACGTTAAGTAAACATGGGGCGAAGTGAACGCAGAAGCCTGGCGATGATCCTGACGGCTGGTCATTTGAACGATGCGAGCAGGACAACAAACAAAGCCAATGCTTTCGTGCCAAGCCCTACTGAAAACAAGATAAGTAGAAGAGTGAAATGAATAGAAGAGTAACTACAGCAGCAACACAAAACCATCTGTTATGATGATAAAATTTAGGAATAACTTTCGGTTCAATTATGTTTTTTTTATAAAATTTCAACAAAGTTTTTACAAAAAATCGACAAAACTACTAATAAGAGCAAGTAAAATAAAAAGCAAACTTCCAAAATATACAAACTACGAAACTCCAGACTAGCAAAGAAACATCCTCACAATGGTAAAACATGCAACTCAGCCACATTTTAACGCCAAATAAACTCTGATTTTTCTCTCAGTACAAAATATCGTTTCGCATTGCAAGAATGTCAACGTACATATAAAACTTTCAAGCATTACTCTAAAATTTTTTTTTCTGAGTGAGCAATCGCATGAACACAAACAACAACCTCTTCAACAACAAACTTACAACATCTACAACAACTTTACAACATCTTCAACAACATACTTACAACATCTACAACAACTTTACAACATCTTCAACAACATACTTACAACATCTACAACAACTTTACAACGTCTTCAACAACAACCTCAAAACATCCTCAACAACAACCTCACAGCATCTTCAACAACAACCTCACAGCATCTTTAACATAAAAACTTATGGCATATTGAACAAGAAACATTCTATACACCCGAAACCAACCAACCAACCAAAAAACTTACTCCAGAAAAAAAACATTTTAACCAAACACCGTCCTATAAAAATGACATCATTATTTTCTAACCTACGACATGTTTGGCCAGCAAATCACAGCAATCTATTTCCCTTTCCATGTTGACTCAGTTGATGTAATTGCGCTGAGGACATTAATCACATTAACTATCATTACTCTGCAGTAGTTGCTGTCATGGTATCTGGTATCACACACTTTTTGCACGTGATAAACTGGGATTTCTTTACATTCGAACCCGGACACTGCGCCAGCAATGCCAGTCACCTTAACCACTACACCATTGCACGCGCCGTTACAACCACTATTATAGTAATGAGTAGCAATTTCTTTGGGGCAAAAATCATTTTATATGTAAGAGTAGTTTGAGACAGCAGTGGTGATTTTGGTCAATTTTAAACTTATTTAAAAAAAATTAGAATAATATGGAGTATGTGGCCTATGAAATGACATTGCTGTAATAGAAATATTTGTTGTTTAGTATCATGAAAAACAAAGGCTTAGAATGGACACTGGTTAGTATATACTTTGTGAAAATTGTTGTGTTTATATTGCATTAAAAATATACCGCCAGCGATATCTGTGAGAAGGTAAACGAATCAGAAGTCAGATATAAATGTATTAAGTTGGGCACACTAAAAACTTGTTGCTCGTAACTAAGAAGAACATAGTTATACAAAGAATTTCAAATATATAAAATGAGATAGAATGTGACATCAATCACAAATAATTATATATATAATAATAATATGATAAGATATATCAGCTACATAAATCCAACAAATGAATTAAATGAATATAAACTAAGTGATTGTTGAGTAATAAATAAAATCTGCTAGGTGATTAATATTTAGAGTTGTAGATATTTCTTCGTGTGATTGGTAGTCTTTCAAGTTATGAATCATTAGAATGGTGACGAATTAATTATCTCGAAAGTTCGGATGACAGTCGTCATAATTCTCTTTTTCACCGAATCTTCTCACAGTGCAAAAAATAAAAAAAGAACCTGTGGAAATATTTTTTAGGTTCTAAAATGTTTATGAATATTTTATTTGTGGCCAAGTCAGTTTGTTTAAACTGTAATAATGAGTAGTGAATTATAACATCATCGTCATCATCATCATCGTCGTCATCATCGTCATCATCATCATCATCAGTAGCAGCAGCAGCAGCAGCGGCAACATCAGCCACATCCCGTCAAGCGCTCTTTCATCTACGGTGCAATTAACTAACGGTATGAATTGTTAATCGGCCACATCCACACGTCGTCACCGGCCTCATTTGCTCTCTTTCTCTTTCTCTCTCTCTCTTTTCCTAGTTTTATTTTGTTCTCTTTCTCATTCTCACACATACACACACATATGTACACACACACGCACGCACGTACACACAACTTTAAATCTTCGTCATCTTCCTTCATTATCATCATCATATTCATCATTATCATCATCGTCAACTTTATCACTCTACTGTCATTATCACCATTATCATTATTACCCATCATGGTCGTCATCATATTATCACTCCACTATAGTCATCATCATCATTATCATCATCATCGTATTATCACTCCACCATATTCATCATCATCATCATCATCATTGTCATCACCATCATCGTCGTCATCCTCATCGTCATCATCACCACCATCGTTATCATCATTATCATCGTCATCATCAACATCATCACCCATCTTCGTCATCATCATCAATGATGAGACGACAGTAATTAAATTCTGACTCACTGCAATCACTTAACATTTGTTCCCTGATAATTTTAATAATTACTTCACCACTTAATGATGCTACTATCGCGTGTCCCAGTTCTTTTTCTATTCTCCCCACTCAATTATGAAAAACACCGACGCAAACACACACGCAAACACATCTACACACACAACAACACATATCTACTTACACGCACACATACACAGACACTCGAACACACACACACACACAAAACTCATCTACATACACACCTGCACAAATGTACACACACACACGTACTCACACACGCACAAACACACACATACAAACACACACACACATACATACGCATACATGTATCTATATATGATACAATACATGCTGTTCAGTGTTTAATGTATACACACATCAAGGCATGTACTACATCGTATAGTATGTTTATATTTAAAGTGACACATATTCCAAGAAAGCTAAAAAATTCAAGACACATTATCAATCCCAGGTATATTTTTAATTTTTTATCTTAATAAAATTTATTTATATATTTCAGATTTTAAATTTAATTTTAAATTTTACTGTTGAATTCAATAGAAAAATTTCGATTTCAGTTTTGAAATATTCTTCTGATAAAAAACAGTATTAACGTAATGATTATTTCATCCTATTGAATTACTTATTTGTTTCAACAAGGCAGGCGTATCGCTGGAGTCTATCTGCAGTTGAATCCGGTCATTCCAACCTGGCCCTAACCTGTCACACAATCTTGCCGCCCCGTCTGACTAGACTGAAAAAAAAGATTACAGCACATAGATCAATGATGTTGATGAAGTCTCGTGGTCTCAAAACATTGTCTCACCGTTAGACGAGGCAACAGATGTTGCTTGCTGGAGTATTGGAGAAGAGAATTTGTTTAACGTCTTATGCGCAGACATATTTTTTGATGTTTTGGAAAAAAAGAAACGCAAAATTTTGAGAAAAAAAATTATCATTGAAATTTCAATTTTTGTGTTATGCAACCAAGTTTATGTTAATACGTGATGCAATCAGCTCGTGAATTCAAACTTTTTTTTCAAAATTGTATGCATCTACATATTTACATTTTTCACTCCACTCTGTGTCAATTTTAATCTTAAAAAGCGAACAAAACAGAAAACAACAACAACCACCAACCAACCATCCATCCAGAACATTTGTTTTTCAGTGCACAAAATTTTTTCCAACATTGCTAATCAATGGCAGATGTCCTCTTTTATTTGCATAGTTCCATCAAAAACGCGTTAAAAATGGTTAGCTGAAAGTCCGAGAAGTTTGTTTTTCCCTACAAAAAAAACAACAACAACAAAAAAAAAACTCACCTCACTGTATTTGCTATTTTGTATTTGTGAAATGTTTGCATATGTTTACGATAAATTAAGTGAGATGTTGTATGTAATTACAATCTAGCAATTACTGTCTAGATTTACAACGTACGTTCTGCCTCATTTGTATGGAACGTTTTAGTGATTGTGGGCGCCTAAAAATATAAAAATTACAATTTTTTCCTGATATTTTTCTAAATTAATCAGATTTTGTAATAACCTTGAATGAAAATAACAACGATTTGAAAAAGGATTAGTAATCTTTATGGATGTTTGGCTGGATTAGTTTCCATTAAAATTTGAAAAAGTTTTTTGCAAGCAGAACAAAATTTCTGTTAAGGTAAAAAATCATACCTGAATGAAAAAAAATAAATGAAAATAAAATACATCTGAAATCTGACATGATTATATGTTATTATATGATGATGATTGTTGAAAAAATGTCAAAAACAAATTGAAATTCTAGTAGCTCCTATATTAAAATTGAAAACTGCTGTGAGGTAGTTCAAAATCACTCTGTTGTCTGGCATAGATTCTCAAGTGCGGAAATGATTTCATAATTTTGCCAAAAACTTTTACATTCCGTCTAACAGATGTCACGCATGTCACCTCTGGTTATTCAAGACAACCGTAATACTTTGTAATTATTTCGAAGGAAAATTTGCTATCTATTTTCTGAAAGAAGGTTTCAAGAATATTTCAAATTTTGACTTTTTCAGCTGTCAAATCGAGAGAAGTTCAATTTAAAAAAATAAAACAACAGTATAGAAAATTATTTTCATATCCATCATTTTGCTTTTTAAACCTTTCATTTTTCCTTACATAAATATCCTATCTGACATGGTTATTTGCTATTATATGTTGACGATTTATCATCATAGTTGTTATTAATTTTTGAACTTGTTTAGGCAAAATAACTTCTGGCTATGGAGATAAATACCAAACAAAAAAGTTTATTAAACTTTCAATATTGACGTTGATCAGGGTGGGGAGGGAGATCCCCACCAATCACAGCCAGTACCTAAGAGGTATGTCCAGTGAATTAACTTGTATCTTGTTATTTTAGATACCTCTTCATTTGAGATAGAATTATTATGAAGAATTATACTAAAAATTTACTTAGAATAGACAAAAATATATTTATCTATAGACAAATATGAAGATGCGAGAGGAAAGCAGACACACACAGAACTACATAAACACGCATTCAGACACACCCATACTCACACACAGCCATACATATCCACACACACACACACATACAAAAACACACACACACAAACACACACACACACACACATATACACAAATTCTCACCCAACAATTCATAAACCCTTCAACATATGCGCGTAGACATATTTCACATTAAAAATTCAAAAAGGGGATTACTATTTACTTCTGTGAAATCGACCTCTACCGAACTGCCAGAGATAGTGATAAACCGACAGAGTGATGACCAAATGAGACATCCTGATGAATGCCGTGTGGTCTGGTGACGATTTGTGAAATTTGTCAAAAACACGTACACTTAAACGTGTACACATACAACACACAAAAACACTCACACGCAAACACATACACATACACGCGCTCACATTCTCACCATTCCATTCATGAGATTAATATTAAAAAGTGATAAAATTGTGAGATAGGGATGAATCGAGAGAGCAGAGACTTTACAACATTTGATCGAATTAGCTGAAAATTGGACGTTACGATAGAATTAATTAGTCATTTAATGGCCGATAACAATGATTAAAAAACACTACAACCCCCTGCTTCAATTTTTAACAGCAACGCATATAATTCTTTCACTACAGACGTTAATAATACAAATAATTATAAAATTCCTGCTCGTATAAAAAAATATTAATAAATGTTTCTAAAAACAACTTTATTTTACTAATTAATAACGATTTGAAAAATTTTCAAACAGAAATGAATGAATGAAAAAAAAATTAAAATAATATCATTCTTATATTTAAAACAAAGTTATCAAATCGAGGTTAATATTCTGATATGATGTGGTAGATAAGACACCAAAGAAACTTGGATGATAATAAAATGATAAGTTTGACAAGGACGACGATAAGATAATGCATCTGGCATTATCACGATTGTGACGATGAAAAAATGCAAGAAGTGGATTTGACTACAAACGATGATGATGATGTAGACGAAGACAAAGACGAAGGTGATTAAACTTCAAAAGAAAAGAAACAATTTTTGTATCTAATTTAATGAAGTTCATTTAATTTAGGGAGAGTAATTGTTTATGTTATGCTAGAATCGCCTGGAAAAAATCATTGCCAGAAGATTTGAAGAAGAAAGATTATACAAAAACAGTATAACAACACTTTAAATTTGATGATTTTAATTTTAAATAGTGTCAGCAAGATAACTTCGCACGAAAGAAATCAAATTAAAAACTCAAAAACAACGAACTATTTTATTAAAATTGGATGTTTTGAAGATTTTTCAAAATTAAAACTAAAAAACGAGTAAATTAATCTCTGTGTATCTTACCGTCTGACTGTTGACATAAAGTTGTCGTCAGATAATTTGCAAAAATTCTTTATATTCAGTCAAAAATTAATTCGACCAAAAAAAACTTTTAAAATGCTTTAAAAAATTGTTCGAATTTACAAAATCTATCCGATGAATACATACAAACAAACGTTTTTAACAAGAGGTTAGAAAACAAATAACTAAACACCGAATATCTTAGAAACAGATTTTATACATATAAAATTTGATAGTAACTTGATAAGTAATTTGATAAGCTTCAATATTTATGGCTGGTTTCGTTGCACTCCAGGTCCCAACATCATTCCCTATATGCTAGACCAAACTATAAATACGCTTGCAAGTGCATACCATTATACGTGTGGATGTGTATATATATATTTGTATGTATATGGACGTATATGTATGTATATAAATGTATATGTTTATTGTATACATATGGATGCATGTATGTGTATGTTGGAAGGAGACCATATTTTATACAGTATTGTATGAATTCTACAAAAGTATTGGCATAAACTAATTTAAAGTTTGTCTTTTAAGGTTTCTTTACTAGAATTTTTTGAAAATTGTTCAATTTTGTATAAATGTATATACGAACAAGGGTATGTAATATGCAAGGACATGTATGGTTTTACAGTTTTACAGTATATGTATAGGCATCTATTATTTCATTTGAATACTCTCCAATATTTACAGCTTAATGGTGTGACAAACTAACTTTTCATTCGGTTGTGTCACGTTATCGTTGATGTTTTTTTTTTTTGATTTTTTGCCTAAACAAATAGAACTAGTCAAAAAATCTTTCTTACTAGTTAATCAATTATATTAACGTAGCAGTTCAAACGAGGTGCATGTTGGTCTGGATGCTCGTTAAAATACAAATGAATCGCGTAAGAATCACGTAAGATGTTATTTAGTTTCAAGAGCAATATAATTAATTGTTTGAAATTTTGAATGAAATATGACGCAAACCTGAAGTTTTACAGAGATAATACACAGCTGAGCCTTGCTCGAGCTCATAAACGTCAAACATAATTGCCCACTAAATATCTCAACACAGCATCAGAAGATGTTTGAATTATGGCTGGCCGATGGTCAATTTTTCTAATTGCGAGTTGTCGACTTTTTCAATTTTTAACGATGTTTATGCCTGTCAAACGTTGATGTATGAAAATTTTTGCTTGGTCTGTCTGCTCACCTTTGTAAAAAATACTTTTATTACGATGTATCACAGGCAGAGTAAATAATTATTCTCCATCAAATATCTTCAAAAAACACTTACAAATCATTTCATACATAAGGATTTACATCTAATTCGCATGATGCACGGCACATTTTTTTATTTTTCATCACCAAAACATGAAATGGCATCCACGAATCAGGGACCACGTTGTCCTGGCAACAACTTTTTGATTGGAAACTCTCTCCAGATTATTATTCGCTACATGATATAATTTAAACTCAAATTTGAGGCAAAATCCATTCCTCCCATATTGTCACTTGGCTACGGAAACTATTTTTCAATGCACCTACATGGAAGTAGCAGCGGCAAAAAATGTACGGGTGAAAATGTTTTTCTTTACTTCTGTATTTTTATAAGTCCAAACGTTAAAAGTGAAAGAATAATCAATGAATAAACTGAATAAAAAAAACCTCCTATAAATAATTGGAATATCATTAACTCTGCTACCATTAACTGACACACTAAAGAACACAAACAAAACAAAAATACTTGTACACACACGCACACACACACGCGCACACACACACAAATAAATTCATGCACACACACACATACACACAAACACAGAAACATACAAACAAACAAACACAAACAAAAAGGATACAAAAGCACAGACAAACGCACAAGAAATCACAGAAACACAGCCCCTTCTTCTAATCATGACTTTAATTGCTCCGGTTGTCATTCATAGAGGACATTTGTATCTTTTATTTAGATATTTCATCAACTTACAGAAAAATCTCTGAATGAGGAAAATGTTTTTGTTGTGAGGTTGCATTGCGAGTGCTTGCTTCCGTACCTATCTCAACATTATAAGACAACATTTGTAATGTGTGTGTTATATGATATATACAATAATATATAAGATATAATAAGAATATTATATATATATATATATATATACAACTGTATTTTATATATATATATATATATATATATTAATCTATATTATTGTATGGGTTTTTTCAGTTGGCATATAATATACCCATCATTCGTCTTTACATTTGCATGTGTTATTTCAACTTAAGCCAATGTTTGCCACCAGAGCTGAACTCCCTCTTAGCATGGAAATAAATTGGGAATAATGAAATAAATAAATACGCGCTACGTGTGCATGAATTATTATCATATAATTCTATTTGAGGATAGGTTAAACAAATTCGCGTCTGCGTGCGGCGTGCGTGTGTGTAAGTGCGTTTGTATGTGTTTGTATGTGTGTGTATGTGTGTTTGTGTATGTGTAAGTGCGTTTTTATGTGTTTGTATGTTTGTGTGTGTGCGCGTGTGTGTATTTGTAAGTGCATTTGTATGTGTTTGTATATGTGTGTGCGTATGTATGTGTGACTGCACGAGTGGGTGTGTGTAATTTGTGTGTGTGTGTGAGTTTGAACTCTTGGGGCGGAAGAAAATTAATTTCCAGCCTACTGTCGCGTTCATGCCACGCAATGCATGGCAGTAGAGTGCAAGCAAGTACGGCGTGGACTGAGCAAATTTTTCGCTTGTAGTCAGTCACCTCTACCTATGCTACAACATTTGCAGTACCGCTTCTATCGTTAACGATGTTGTTATAATAGTCGTTTTGAAAAATTGTGCGTGTGTGCGTGCATGTGTGTGTGTGCGTGCGTGTGTGTGTGTGTGTGTGTGTGTGTGTGTGTGGTGTGTGTGTGTAGCGTGGTGTTACTGTTTTACTCTGCTTGTATGTTTAAAAATGAAATAAAAATAAATAGCAAAATAAATAAATAAATAGATTTTTTTAAATAATTATTATGATGCTGGGTTGGTGTTTTTTTTCATTCAAACATTCCTAAATTATTACAAAAAGTGAAATTTTTTATAGATTTCAATAATAACAATACAAACAAAAGCATAGTCTGTAGTAGTTGTGGCAGCTGCAGTAGTTGTGGCAGCTGTAGTAGTTAAAGTAGCTGTAGTATAGTTTTATATAAACTGGAGGTCACATGAATAATGGTTGCTGGATTACATGGTTGGTGTATTATTGATATGCATGTATCTTTTGATCGTATTCATCATCATTCTCATCTTTTTATCACCATCATCTTTTTCATCATCATTGTTAATATTGTTAGAGTTGTGTTTACTGATTTGTTATTTAACCATTGTCATCCTCACGATCTCACTATCACCATTGTCATTCATCATAAACATCTTCACCATCATCATCATCATCATCATCATCATCATCATCATCATCATCATCACCATCATCATCATCATCATCACCATCATCATCATCACCATCATCATCATCATCATCATCATCATCATCATCATCATCATCATTATCATCGTCACCATCATCTTTTTCATCTATCTTCAATATTGTCATCTTCATCGTCATCACCATTGTTTCAGCCAGGGTTTCCACAAACATAAGGCCACTGAACTTGACAATGTACAAAACTGGTCACTGGCATCACGTGAACTCTGACCGTCCGAGCTAACATTATTAATATGCATGTATGCGTGTATGTATGTTCGTATACTTTGTTGTGTGTCTGTCAGTGTGTGTGAATGTGTGTGCGTGTGTGTGTGCGTGTGCGTGTGTGAGTGCGTGCGTGTGTGTTGATGATAATTTTGAAAAATCAATTGTATGAACATAACAGTATTAGCGGCTTTGCTACCTAATAAATGCAATTTTTCAATTTTCTTGGTCTCTCTCACAATCATATAATCTATCCAATCCGCATATTCATAAACATCTGTGCCCCCAGCTCACTCATTATTTATTCAATTCTTTCACCAAAAGTTTAATTAAAATTAATTCAACTTCTGTAGTGTGGTCCATTAAAGCTGTTGTTCTTTTGTTGTTGTTGTCGTCATCGTTGTTGTTGTTATTGTTGCTGTAATGTTAGCGTGATATGTTGGTGTTGTTAGAAGAGTTGTTGTTATATTGTTGTTAATGTGAAGTAATGTTTTTATATGTTATTCATTGCTGTTTCTATGTTTATTTTGAGATATTATTAATTTTTATTTGTGATTTTTGTTAATGTTGCTGTTGGAATGGAGTAGTATTGTTGCGGTTGTCGAAATTGTGTAGTGTTGCTGTTGCTTTACATTTGCTATTTTTGTATGTATGTATTAAAATATATTAACATTTAGTTGTCTCTGAGAAGTTCGGTTTTGTTGATGTTGTTGTTGATTTTGTTGATGTTGATGCTGTTGATGTTGTTGTTAATGTTGTTGATGTGTTGACGGTAATTTTGTCTATAATGTCATTATTATAATTCGCTTTATTAGCGTTGTAATTGTAAGTTTATTTAACATTTTTTGTTGACGAATGCGTATTGATGTTTTTTGTTGTTGTTATTGATGTGTTCTCCACTATTTTTGTTGTTGCTGTGTAATTGATGCGTTTGTTGTTGTTATCGTTGGAGTAATGGCCAACTGAGTATCGTTGAATGTCCTCTGTTTAATTCCTTCCTGATTGTTGCGGACGTTGTGTGTGTTTGTCGTTGGAATGGAGTCTCTTTGCGAGGAGGAGGTTGATTTAATGTTGTTGTTGCTGTTGCTGTTGTTGTTGCTGTTTTTGTTATTGTTGTTGTGTTTGTTTGTGTTTGTATTTGTTGAAATAATAATATTTTAGTTGAAATTCTGTGAAAATGTCATTTCTTTCTATATGGTTATTTGTTGATTTGCGTTGATGAATTTTAATCTGAAACAGCAGTTATGGATGTTATTTGTGTTGACTTTGTTGTTGGATGTTGTTGTTGCAAAAAAAAATTTGTTTTTACCGAGAAAAATATCAGTTGTAACGATTCTAATGTTTCTTTTTGATGGTTGTGTTAAATTTTATTGCGACTCTTTAGTGGGCAGTTGTTTTTATGGTCTGTGGTGGTTCATTGCAATTGTGCATTTGAAGTTTTTTATTCGAAGTTTTTTTTCATTTTAAACTGAAATATTCTTTTGTATTTTTTAAAAATTCTATAGAACATTTCAGCTGAAAAATTGTTAAACCTGGAAAAAATTAATTGAAAACTAGAAAATGGAAAAACAAAAAAAACCTATAATTCAAATTAATTTCTAGAAAAAAAAATGTGGGCATTTTTGACTCAGTGAGCGTTATGAAAAACATATTTGTTTGCTGAAAATAATAATTCATTGACGATAAAACATAACTCTAAAAAGGCTATGTTATTTGTTTATTGTTGCTGTTGCTTATGTTGTTGTTTGTTTGTGTTATTGTTTGTATTGTTGTTTGTCTTGTTGTTTGAGTTGCTGCATGTATTGATGTTTGTACTGTTGTTGTTTGTGTTGTTGTTTGTATGTCTTGTTGTTGTTTTCGCTGTTGTTTGTGTTGTTGATTTTATGTTATGGTTTATGTTGCAGTTTGTATTATTTATTTTTAGCTTTAAAAATCACTTGAATAAACTTTTCGATAGAATTTGTAAATTTTCTAATATGCTGAAATATGTTCTACTGGTTTCGATAGTTTTCTGTTCTGTTTTTTCAAATAGAGCTATTCAAAATTTCATAGTTTAATTTATTTTAACAATTAAACAAAAATGTTTATTTATTATTGCAAATGTTAGTAAGTGTAATGGATCTTGAATTAATGGAAAAGTTCATTTCGTTACAAATCCACACAAGTTAAAAAAACTGTGTGAGTGTGTGTGTGTGGTGTGTGTGTGTGGTGTGTGTGTGTGATTGGACGAAGCATGTAGAGAAAAAAAAACAACACTACGTCATAAAAAAACCAACCAGCTACAACTTGAAAACTATTTTTCAAGATGTCTCATATAACTTTTTTCCAAACCACAATGGTTATATGAGAATACAAAAAAAAACAATTTCTACAATTATTCTCATAAAATTGCCTCTATTCAGTCGCCAAGACATTGTTCAAAAAGATACGAGCGTTTCCATTTACATGCATACATACATACATACATACATACATACATACATACATACATACATACATACATACATACATACATACATACATACATACATACATTCCTACCAAACATCTATCCATCTATCCATCTCTNTCACACACACACTCTCTCTCTTTCTCTCTCTCACATTCACAGTCTATCATTTTTTTCCCTCTTTTCCTCTCTCTCTCACACACACACTCACGCACATATAACCAATCTGGGCAATACGTTATTCAATTTTTTCTAAGTTATTCTTCACGTATCCGACTTCTCCATACCTCTGCAGATTTTTTTTGCGTTATCCACCTTATCATGCTATATAAATTTGTGGAGAATGTGTTAGTGGCGATGAATCAAATGTGGAGAAAATTTTTTTACAAAAGATAAAAATTAGTAAAATTTTAAAACCTGTGTGATTAATATGGAAAAGAGTTAAATATGAAACCAAATATTTATTATCTCATTAAGTTATGCCAGGTTTGGATTAAAGAAAAACCAAAAAGAAGAAGAATGTATCTTTGTAAGTATTTCAATATTTTTTTCTGTTAAAAAAACTGGTTTCATTAGAAACGTTGAGAAATAAGTGGAAAGAAACAATTGTCCTTTTAATGCTGTAAACGAAATGCAAACAAATAAAATAATTAATGCTGTCTTGTATTATACTTTGTTAGTTTTATTTTTGACATCAGAAAATGCTAAGCACATTGAAGATTAGTTTTAGCGAAGCGGAACTTGAAAAATGAATCAGTAAGTTATTAATATAACATAGCAGCGACAACATTTTTCTGTAACAAGATTCCAACAAAATATAAAAATACCTCACAAGAAACAAAAATTCCAGTAACATAACACCACATACTACCACAACGCTGTGATGTCATTGTATAAAATTAAAAATCGCATCTCACCACGCACGCACGCACACACACACACACACACATACATCACACACACACACATACATCACACACACACACACACATACAACAACAACACACACACACACGCACGCACACTAACCCTAACACACACACAAATTTCCGGAATAAAGTTACTCTAAGAAAAAGTTGGAAAAAATATCCAATTCCCATCCCAAAATCGCCTTGTTTGTGCCTGGAAGTTTTCTATTGTTAACAATTTTTTCATTTTTATTCTTTTTAAGATTTTTATTCAATTTCCAGATTAAAATGAAAAAAATAATAGTATTGTTATTGTTACTGCTTTCTAAGTTTTTTTTCTGATCAAATGAAACCAGTATGGAAATAAACAGCATATGATGGAGCTGAAATTAGTTCAGCTGTAATAATGTGTAAATGTTAACTTTGGAATCTGATCAGGTTAATCTGAATGAATTGTTAACTCGCACAAATTCCTCTACAAGAAGGCTGCTTGTGAATTCGAAGACAGTGACAACACAACAAAAAAAATGTAAATTACATTACATTACACTATATTACATTAAGTTACAACTCATTACATTACATAACCTTATAACTAATTTCATCGTGCAACAACAACAACACAACTTGCTAACAACAATATATCCCACTGTGTATATAAAATTCACGTATCGATAGAGAGCATGGTTGAGTAAATTTCCATACTAAACATTCCGATGTCAGAGCAACACAAACAATGGGGATGGAAAACTTAATTGTATCACTGATTACAATAACAATAATAACATTAATTATGACAATAATCTTACCTTAAATATAATGTATTATTAGAAAACTTATATATAATTTAACAAGTGTAGCATTACTTATACGGCATTATTAGAAAATCATTTGAAATACAGATGATATTATCAATACAACATCACATGTAACACTACTTAAGAACATTACTTCTGACATTAATTACACTAATTTTATAGTTTTAACCATCGTTTCGCTTTATTAACATAACATCGCAGTATACAACATCACAACATCACGTCGTAGCATCACATAATGTCACATGACGTGACTTGACAAGTTGAAACACGGCGTCCGAGAGAGCTTTACGGTCTGAATGAATTTATTGATCTTTCAAAAAAAATAAATAAAATAAAATAAACGCGTGTTAAACATAGATCAATTAAAAGCTGCTGAAAATTTTGCCCAAGAAGATTTACAGCGTGGGTTGCTTGGCACATTTTGTCAATATATCAGTCTGTGTGTGTGTGTGTGTGTGTGTGTGTGTGTGTAAGTATAATACAAATAGGTATAAAAAAATAAAAAAAATGAAGTATATATACTCATGAATAAACATAGGCCTACGTGAAAATTGAAAATTTATGGCTAGATTTATATGCGTTCATTTGTTTTAATGTTGTCAAATTTTGCATATCTTTTACGGTTGAAATTTTTACCTAAATATTTGTTTATAATTATTTATTCAATTTGTTGATTATTTTTTAGTTTATTATTTATTTTTAATTAGTTAATTATTTTTAATTAAATAATCTAACATCATTTGCTATTTCATTCCATTAAAATTCCACGCAGTTCAACTAATTTTCAAAGTGGGACCACAAGTTTTTTCCTTGGTTTTAATTGAAGGAAAAACAAATCTTTAAAGGAAATTAAACTTTAGAAAGAACGTAAAAAATAAAACCAGAAACTGAACAAAACAGCCAAACAAATAAAACGTAGAAAAACTTAATTCTATATGATTTCTATAGCATTCTCAAACGCACTTTATTTTAAAATCCGGCCAAATAACTAGCATTTTAACAAATAAAAAAACAGTTTCGCGATGAATATGGTTTATTAGGCTTAACTCAATTATAAAAATATGTCAAGTTGCATTTTAATATCGAATCTAGGTAGAGATGTCTTCTGAATTCTAATTAAACTAGAAATTTTTTTTTTCAAATGTTTGTAAGTTACAGAAGTGACCCAATTATAAATACATCACGGAGGAATATTTTTTCATTTTGTTCTTTTATAAAACTTGAAAGTGCATAAGACGGAATAAAGTTTTCAATGTGCAATCATTTTCCACTGCGATCTAATTGCTAACCTACTCCCAAGAAATGGACACGCTGTGTTAAAATGGATAAATGTTAGATATTTCTTTACTTCTGTCATAGATTGGTCAGGAGTAATTAAATAAAAAAATTGAATAAAGGGTTTCCAGAGTTTATGTGATTTAATTATATTTTTTTAGTTATATTAATAATTGTCTCTAGACTGTTTTTCAAAAATTTTTATCTTCTATTTGATTGTCGAAATCTTGTGATTTTTAAATTTTGCTTTTTGTAAATTTTTGAGAGAAACCAAATAATATGAATTTTAAATAATTATTTAATCAAAAAACTTTTGATAACAATTAAATAATCTCAAATTAGTTGAAAAACTCGAAAAAACATTGCACATCAACGAAAAAAATTTATTAACAATATTAACAACGTTTTAATAACCCGTAACAACGAGAGTAACAACTATGTTTTCAACAAATACAATATATTAATAACATCGCATAATTTTATAACAAATATTGTTTTGCAATACTGTTTGACAAGAATCATTGTTTCATAACGAAACGCAGTTTGATAGCAATTAATAAGTATTAGAAAGGCGTTTAAATGAAAAAAATATGAAAAATAAAAAAATAATGTTAAGGCAAAAAGAAGTACAATGTCCTATCAATCCTCTGATTCTTGAAAGGTTCGGTATGTACTTCTTTGAAATCTGTGAAGTTTTGTGAAGTAAGTTTAACATGAAAACATTATCATAAGCTTAGACGAGGGGGGTCTTTGGGGTTGAAACCTACACCCTCCCCTATCAATAGATATTTGCGCTAGTGTAAACGCTAATTTGATACAAAATTTCAATATGAATGTTTGCAAATTTGGAGTGAAAACATTTTCAAACACCTAACAACAATAACGTGAAATTGAATTTCGTACAGAACGCTAGCAAAATATTTTAAATATTGATATTTAGAATAAAAGCAGGGGGCTAAATTTTTTTTTCATCAAATTTAAGCCCGACTCCACATAACTAATTTTAAGCTGCCCCTCTAAACTTCATCAATTTGACATTTTGTTGTCGCCATAAAATAATGTCATACTCAACATTCTTGTTTCCTTCGTGAAGCATTATCATTTTAACTTTTTTTTCCAATATCGCATCATCATTCATCGTCATCCTTATCGTCATCTTCATCATCGTCATCGTCATCATCATCATCATCATCATCATCATCATCGTTATCGTCGTCATCATCATCCTTATCATCATCATCATCATCGACTAACTTGCATCTTGTTCCTTTCTTCCTTATTGCCTGGAACCTAAG